CTGCAGGTTTTAGATCTGACCCTGGGTCAACACACCTGAATGACACGATTAGTCAGACCTCTGAAGAACTTCAAGACATGCTGAGGAGGTCATTTAGCCGTTTAAACCAGCTGACACATCTAAAACCTGCAGGACGCCGGCCCTCAGGCCTGGAGTTCCCCCCAAGTAAGGAAACCAGAGGCTGCAGCTCCTCGGGGAGGACGGATCAGGAAGTCTAGTGCAGAGTCGAAACCCATGCTGTGTTTTTCTCACTTCCTGCAGATGCAACACTTATTGAAAATCCTAAAATCACCTGTTTTGTAAGGTTTCGATCACTGAACAAAATATGTGTGCGACCTGGGCTGCCATCAAACATCCAAAGCACTGAACTCAGTTTCTCTGGAAATCCAAGTAATGAAGTCCAATAAAAACAGCTGCCTGTGAGAGTTTGATGTGAGCACTGACATTTTGTGGGTTCAGCACTTACACACAGTGTGTGTGTGTGTGTGTGTGTGTGTGAGAGATGGCAGGAAACTGTTGTTAAAGACGCAGCGATCGAGCGGCTCGTCTCCAGCCTCACGTGTCTGAACGCTCTCGTCTGACACGCACAGCTACACGCTAATGTGGAAGCTCCACGCTGAGAGCAAAGAGCTCAAACACACAAACATAAGCAGACACTTGATTTTTGAAGAAAGGCAAAGTAGCTAAAGAGCTCAGCAGCCTCGGTACCGTTCGGCAGGGTGGCCGTCAGGTAAAGGTGAGCTGCATGCAGAGAAGCTGCATCGGCCACGTTTAGCAAAGCGGCATCATTGTGAAATGTGGCCGCAGCTCTGCACACACAGCAGGGCCTCCTCTCCATCTCTTACATCACATCGTTCAGCTGGTCGTTAATTAAAAGCTAATCAAGCACAAATAAATTCAGTCGTGATCCCAGAAACTGAAATTAAAGGGAAAAAATAAACCTGGTTTAATAATCCACAAACAAACTTTTTCTTCTTGTAAATAAAATAAGTTTTATTACAGACGGATGTTTTTTCTGGTTTTTGAAGTTTTTATTTTACAAACAGCAAAGTTCAGTGTGAGAAACACTCGCCTCCTGCTTTCTTATCCGCTCACACACAAATTAAACTCGGGAAACTTAAAGCTGGTTTAACTCTGCGGGACCTCCGTTGTGAGGTCATCTTCTCAGACGTGTTCAGTTCTTAGATCCAAACGGACACAAACTCCCCGTTCGTGGGCGCAGCTGTGATGACAGCTGCGTCTCCGAGCTCCAAACAGCTGCTTCAGGAATCTGAATCAACTCTGTCCTTTGGCCGCCTCTCTCGACCGACCGCTCTGACGGCCGGATCCTTTCCCTCTGCCGCCACCGCCCCCTCCTCGCTTTCTCCTGTGTCCAGGTCTCTGCCCGCTGAACCCTCCGCCCTCCTCCCTGTTGGCCGCCTGCGTCCACAGGGCGTCGTAGCGGCCCGGCGCCTGGTACCCCGGCTGGTTGGAGTCCAGCGGCTCTCTGGAAAGGAGGATCCAGATAACAGGCAGGTTCCTGCTGACCGTGAGGCTGTCGAGGCCAGCGGCGGGCTCCAGCGGCTCCCACACCTCCTCCACGGTGCCGTACAGCAGCTTGGTGAGCTGGTGCAGCCCCTTCACACGCCGCTTCACGATCTCCGCGCACGTGATGGCTTTGGAGACGCCCTTCCCGCTCGCGGTGAAGACGACCTGTCTGCAGAGCGGCCGGCCCGGGGCCTCCTGCGGTGCTTCTACGCCGCCTTCCTCGGGTTGAGGTCGTACTTCCTCGTCGGCCGCTCGGGTTTTGGCCTCCATGCGGCTCAGAGCGTAGCGCAGCAGGTTGCGGATCTTGCTGCCATCTTTGACGTGGATCTCCGGTGTGTCGGCGGCGAGGCCGGGGAACGGACAGGCGCACGGCTGCTCCACGGTGCGAGCTTTGCTGTAATTCTCCATCTGCAGAAACACAGACGACAGACAGACGTTACACCGACCGCGGTGCTGCAGTCACTGTGACGGAGGCCGGCCCTGAAGCCGAGCGTGGGCCCGGGTGCAGAGCGAGCTCTGTGCTCGCCGTCTAAACTTAAAGCACTTTAGCTGAGGATGGTTTGTTATCTTTTCAGATATGTGATTAGACTATGCACTTCATACTGGACATCAAAGTATATGTTGTATATTTTATACATATGTGTGCACACATATGTAAATATACATATGTGTGCACACACACACACACATGTATATTTACATATTCAGTAATGCACATAAATTCTATATTTGTACATATTTATTCTCATAATTCCCATTCTTATATTTTGCACACCTAACTGTGCCTTCTGTAAGTGACAGCTCAGTGACAAAGGTCTGACAGAGCTCCTGCTGCTGTGACCCGAGCTGACACTTTCCACCTTCCTGTCTGTGTTTCAGAACCTACTCAACCCAAGTGTCCCATCTCCTGCATCATGAGGTGGAGGCTTCCTCACCAGCTGCAGGGTCACTGCTGCTCAGACTGAATCATGGAGCTGATGCTAAGTGAGGACGCATGGCAAACATTAACTTGTGAATGGTTTCACTGATGGGTTAGTCGGCAGATTAGTGCTTTTAAAGCGGAAAATAGAAAAATATAACAATGATGTGACATCATTAGAAACAACCTGACAAAGTCATAAAGAGCTGCAGGGATGAGAAACACACCTGTGGGGTCTGCACGGAGCTCAGTCAGGGGTCTGCACGGACGCGGAGACTCAGTGCAGCCACATTTTCACCAGGTCCAGTAAAACCAGCAGGGCTCCTGTGTAGATAAGGGAGAGTTCAGCCATGAACCAGTTTGTTTCTGTTGGAGCGAAGCTTCTTTCTTTCTTTCTTACAGTTGTATTGGCGGTTGGAAAACAATTAGAGTGAAGCTTTAAACCTGTCAGAGGTTTTAACGGAGACTGGCGCGTTAACTTTAAGCTGTTTTTGCGCCCTGAGGCTGGAGCCGAGCCGAGGACGCTAAACTTCCCTCGGTGTGGCCGCTCAACTTTCCCGACACGCACCGCGGCTGCTCCGCTAGCTTAGCACTGCGGCGTTAGCTACAACGCCCTGAGCTAACCGGGGAAGCTAACGGAGACAAACCGCCTTCATTCACAGTCAACGTTACACGCTTATAGCTTACCGTAGTCTTCTCTCACACTACCGCATGTTTACTTCAGCTGCACCGCTTAACTCTACCGTAACACGATACGAACTGTCGTAAACTGCTGTGACGCCCTGTAGTTCAACTGTTCACCTGGACGTTTTCAGCGGGACAAACGTTTCGTCATCATCCGGGTGACTTGTTCAGTCTCAGATGACTGCGGGTTTCCAACCTCATAAACAGGACATCTGCATAATGACTGTGAGCTCAGTTCCTTGATCAATAATATGCAAATTATTATGACAATTGATCATCAACCACTGATCAAAGACCATTTTGCAAATATCCTGTTAAAAAA